CCCCCTCTCTCTCTTTCTCTCTCTCACGCACACACACACACACCTTGCTCACAGCTCTTTCCCTTCGCTTCCCCCCTCCGTCTGATTTTACCACCGACAGCAAATGCCGGGTGCGGTTGTAAAGCACCGCACATAGGGGTAGACTGTCTCGTTAAAATTACCGCGCATTGCGAAAGAAACGCAATAAAACGGCGAAACTCCCCTCCGTGCAGTATGCACCACTATCACACGCACACACACACACACACACACACACTCACTAAAAACCGTATATCGCGTCGATATGAAAAAGCTCCTAATGCTCCTTAATGCAGGCACGCGGCTATGAAAGATGAACAAACATCGTAAAATAGGGAAATCCCTTTGGGGTCCGACACCGAGCAAGCAGCTGGAGCCGCAGCATCAGCAGCGCAGCCCTGTGCCCGGGGATGCCAACCCCGTCCAGGTAAAGGAGAGGATGCACCGAGAACCCCCTTTCCATTTTGACGAATTTTTCAGATGCGGCCAATACGAACAATAAGACCCAATGACTGGGCAGGAACGCCCCGACGCCCCGCCACCGCTACGGCGCGCCGCGGCCGTGCCGGGCTGCTGTCGGGTCTGTCATCCTGATGACTTTTCGGCTTTACGTGCTTTGTTGCCGTCCTGTTATCGCCCCGGCTCTCCGCCCCAACCCGCCCCGCCACGCCCCGCCGCGCCCTGCCACGCCCTCAGGTGTGCTTCAAGCCGCTGGTCATGAAGGCGAAGGCGACGGAAGCTTACGTCTGCCGCCCGCCCTACTGCCACTGGTCTTTTGCGCGTTTTCTCACCAACTTCAACCCATTATTCAGCAGCTCTGCTGTCTTTATAAAAAAATATGTTTTCTTCGAGCCAGTACAAGTTAGGTTCCATGTAAGAATGGTGCGAAACGGTCGCATCTATAAACTTTTAAAACCTGGACTTTCCTCACGTGCAAACACACTCTAAGTGACAAAGGGGTAGTTTTCGCCCAGCTGGGCACAATTTAATTTTGGCCAATTACTGTACGGATAAACTTGTCACTGAAGCTTCAAAATTGCAAACACAGGCGTGTTATTTTGGGAACACAAATGTCCCGAGAATGTCCCTTCTCTGTTTAGAGTGACGGTTGTCCCGCGTGGTCTTGTTCGTTTTGAACTGGCCGAGTAAAACTGTCTTAGTTGACGCGCAGGGCTGCAGAGAAGCTGCAATTTGTTGCACATCTCGCATGGAGACCTGGCGGCAACAAGTCGTGCCTGCGTTATGCCTGCTGCTGCGACCGCCACGGCAGTCAACGACCAGGTAATAGTTACACTCTTTAAACGATGATGCGTAATGAGTAATGAGGGACTAGGTACTATGCATGTATGTGAGGCCGGTGCGTGCATGGAGCCGGGGCGTTAGAATCTCTGAGGACCTTACGACCCGTTCACACCATCTCACCTGAGCCCGCTGTACGTACTCCGCCGGAGGGCGCAAGGTCCTTTTCGCCCCGCGGGCTCGTCCGCAGCCTGCCTGGGGCCTGCCCGGAGCCTGTCCCGAACGACATCCTGCTCTGCTGGACATGAAGGGGCGACCGTGCGGACCCGCCGC